GGCGGACAGGGGTCGCAAGGGCAAAGGCCGCAGCTCGGCGCGCAGCGAAGAAGACCGCAGTCGTAGCACGACCGGCAAAGGTAAGAAAGGCGGCAAGAAAGGCCGCGGTAAGGGCAAGGGCAAGCGCCATGAGAGCGCAGACCGCGCCAGGCCGCCGAGCATGCCCAAAGAGCTTCGCCACTTGAACAGTGTTTCCAAGTCCGGCAAGCGCCTCTGCTACGGCTTCAACCTGCAGTGCGGGTGCGACCTCGAGACCTCCGGCTCCCCCAAGCAGTGCGACAGGGGGTTGCACCAGTGCATGAGCTGCGGCAGCACCGACCACGGAGCCGCAGATTGCCCAAAGAACGCAGGGGCCGCCTGACTAGGCACCCTTGCACCGAGCGCGGCAGAGCCGCAACAGCCCTCAGAGACGGGGCCTGCAGCTCTTATCCCAGCAGCGCTGGGCTCTTCCGCCTTTGCTCCTCGCTCAGGGCAGAGCCCTGACCCTTCGGCCTCGGCACCGCCACTGCACCCGCCTGCAACAAGTAAGCCAGGACGTGCCACCGCTGCGCCGTCTCACGACGCCGCGCCCGCGGTTAACGCCGAGCCCCCAGTGCTCCTCTTGTCCGAACAGCACAGCGTGCTGGCAGACAACGCTCGGAGCGTTACTCTTCCCGAGCCGGCTTCGCAAGCGACCCCTCGGCCTCCGCTTTTTGTGGAAGTTTTCTGCGGCCTCGGTCGCCTTAGTAAGGCAGCCATCGAGAAAGGTTTCTCGAATATCGCCGTGGATCACAGGACCAAGGCCAGAGGCCTCAAGGTCCTTCAGCTCGACCTCTGCACCCAGTTGGGTCGCAACTTGCTGAGAGCAGTGCTCTCACACCAAGATTTGAGATGGGTCCACTGGGCCCCCCCGTGCGGCACCTTTAGCAGAGCTAGAGAGATTCCCAGGCCGGGAGCTCCGGGCCCCTTGCGCAGCGAAGCGCGCCCAGCGGGCCTTAAAGGCCTCAAAGGAGCCGACGCCGCGCGAGTTCGCAGCGCGAACAGCCTAGTCGCTTTTATGGCACAGTGTTGCCACTCCCTGTCTCAGCGCGGCGTTTGCTGGTCCATAGAAAATCCGGCTCGTAGCCTCCTGTGGAGGATGCCCTGCCTCAGAGAGGCCTTGCAGTCAGCTCACAGAGTAGAGTTTGACTCGTGCATGTTCGGCAGCATGCGCCGCAAACGTACCGCAATCCTCTCCAACTTGGATTGGTTCGCAGGTCTGAGCAGAGACTGCGACGGAGGCCACCAACACCTGCCGTGGGGCAGAGCCTCAGTTGATGGTTCCACAGTGTGGTCCACATCCCTGGAAAGCGCCTACACTACTCAGTTGAGTTCCGTCTGGGTTTCCCTCGCGGCCGACCAATGCGCAGCAGCACTCCGGGCAGCGCCTCTCAGTCGCAAGCGACTGCGTCGTCTGCGCTACGAGCCAGACTTCAGTGACAAAGTCACTCTCCAAGGCCCCGCAGGGCGGTGCTTTCGAGGCTGGAAGACTCCGCAGAAGATTCCACAGTCGTGGACTTGCTTCCCAAAGGGCTCAAGGCTCATCCAGTGGATTGAAGCCTCCCAGAAAGCCATCATCGCCATCCCGCTGCAGCCTCTACACTGGGTGCGCAGAGCGCACCTGATCGATCACCCGGCCAGGGACATCGAGGCAGTGCCTCTATCCCTGAAGCGAGCCATTGCCGCCGAAGTCCACGAGGACACTGTCCTGCTGGCCAAGCGCCGCACGGTGGCATCGATGCATATCTCTCGAACTTGCACAGAGTGCCAAGTCCGCGAGACCGAGGTACGTTCGTCGATTGACGCTCAGGTGAACAGCGTCACCAAGCCCAAGCAGACAGTAGCTTTAGCAAAGCTTCTGACCGAAATCGACTTTCCGGACAAGACTTTGGCCCAGCAGGTGCGAGAAGGCTTTCCCCTGCTTGGCTGGATACAACCCAGTGGGTTGTGGCCAGTGCAGATTCTGCCACCTTCTCTAGACGAGAAGTCACTACTGGAAAACGCCCAAAGCATCAGTATGCGAGGTGTTCGCAGCGCTCTGCGCCCCTCGCAAGACGGGATCTCGGACAGGGTCTGGGAAAGCACTATGGAGGAAGGCCAGCAGGGCTGGCTCTCTTTGGAAGACTTCTCGCCAGGGCAGCTGCACGAGACGATAGTATCGTCCCGCTTCGGCGTCGTTCAAAAGGGCAAAGTGCGCCCCATTGATAACTTCAAAAGCAGCTTCATTAACAGCTGCTGTGGGACCACAGAGAAGGTCCAAGTCGATAGCATCGACGAGCTTCTTGCAGTTTGCCTGGAGTGGCTTCGCCAAGGTGTTCCCGCAGAGCGGGCCCACCGCATTGTAGGCAGGACCTGGGACCTTAAGAGTGCCTACAAGCAGCTTGCAGTGCAGGCCGCACACAAGAAATTCGCGTGCATCGTCATGCTGGACCCACAGAGTGGGAAGGTCAAAATCGCCCACCTGCATAGCATGCCTTTCGGCGCCGTTGCCGCCGTGCACGCTTTCCTCCGCTGCAGCGAAGCGCTCAAAGCCATCGGCCGCGAAAAGCTTGCTTTAGTCATGACAAGCTTCTTTGACGACTTCACCGTCCTTACGCGCAGCGCGCATTCAAAGCTCGTCACGTTGGCAGTGTCCAACCTTTTTCACAAGCTGGGTTGGCAGGTGGCCACAGAGCCCAAAAAGAACGCAGACTTCAGCGAAGTCTTTGACGTGCTAGGCGTGCGAGTGGACTTGTCCAAGCAGCACCTCGGAGAAATCTCAGTGAGCAACAAGCCAACCCGCGCAGCAGAGCTGGGATTGGTCCTCAGCGAGGCCCTCGCCCGCGGAAGCATGTCCCCTTTGGAAGCGCAGAGCCTGCGCGGCAGGCTCATTTTCGCTGAGCAGCAAGCCTGGGGTCGTAACACTCGCATGGCAGTGATCTGCGTAGGCGACGTTCTTGGGGATGGACCAGAGCAAGTCCCCCTAACAGAGCAGCAATGCCAAGCCATGGCGTTCCTGCTGCAGAGAGTCGTGCACGGACCGCCCAGGACAGTGTCCATCCATGCACGCCGCAAAGTGCACCTTTACATCGACGGGGCCTGCGAGTGGGAGACCCCGAGACTCGTGCCCAAGTGTGGCCTCGGAGCAGTGCTCATCGGAGAAGGCATCGCCTTCACCTGGGGGCTGCAGATCAGCAGCCAAGTCACAGCCCAGTGGGCTGCCAGAGCTCAGAAGCAGCAGCTCGTCTACGAGTGCGAGCTGCTGCCCTACTTGCTCAGCCTGCAGATGTGGGCTAAGCACATAGCAGGCAGCGACCTGTTCGTCTGGATAGACAACGACGCAGCGCGTACCTCCCTGCACAAGGCCTTCACACGCAAGGTGGAAGGAGCTGCGATAGTTTCGCAGGCGGTGGACTTCGAAGAATCCCTGCAGTGCAGGGCCGCTTTCTTTCGAGTCCCCACAGACAGCAATATAGCTGATGGCCCCAGCAGAGACTGGTGGGAAGAGACACAACGGCTTGGCGCAGAGCGCCAATTTTTGCCTCCCAACGCAGTGTCGTTGGCTTTGTCACTCGGCGCGGACTAGATGGGGGGTGAGTAAGGCTTCGAGTGCCTTCAAGGGGGGTGAACCAGTCGTTCGCCTTACCACCGACCAGCGGTCGAGTTTTGGTTTGAAATGCCAGTGGCATCGTTTCGACATAGCCCGAAGATCGGGCCCGAACCGACCCCCCATGTCCGCTAGGAGAAAAAAGAGAGTGCTTTGCACAGGGTCCTTTCTGCAGCGCAGTTAGGGTTTCCCAAACGCGCGCTAACGGAAGTTTCGTTGGAAAATAAGCATCCATCATGCGTGCGTGAATGGGTTTTATTTTCCGCCGAAAGTGTAGACAAAGTTTGTCGAAAAAGGAAAACAGTGTTTTCACTTGTGTGTGAGTGACACTAGACAAACTTTGCCGTGCAGCTTTCGGCTTGGAGTTGGATCTGTGATCCAAAAAGTTTTTGTCCCACCCACCACACCCTGTATAGTATGCGGGGTCCGGGACACCGCTTTGGCAGCAGAGCTGCCAGGAGCAGCGCTCCTATGCTCTCTCCCGCGGAGAGTTTTCAGCACAGAGTGCGCTTTTGTATATAGGCCGTAGGCCGTGCAAATGCAGAGTAGCACCTAGTAGCTGCAGTGACCCAGTAGGTCCTAGAATGTTTCACTTTATCTCCCCGTGGTACGGGTTGTCCCCTAGTAGGGGGGGTGAACCAGTCGTTCGCCTTACCACCGACCAGCGGTCGAGTTTTGGTTTGAAATGCCAGTGGCATCGTTTCGACATAGCCCGAAGATCGGGCCCGAACCGACCCCCCATGTCCGCTAGGAGAAAAAAAGAGAGTGCTTTGCACAGGGTCCTTTCTGCAGCGCAGTTAGGGTTTCCCAAACGCGCGCTAACGGAAGTTTCGTTGGAAAATAAGATCACCAGCTTTCCATTGCCAAGGACAACTGGCAAAGTGCCAATAATGATCCAGACACTTTGCGAGAGTTGGTGCATGCCGAGGTCCAGAAAGGATGGCTGTTTGAGATGCCTTCTTTACAGGCGGCACAGGAACGTTGGGGAGAGCGCGTTGCTGTAGGGAAAATGTCCCTCGTACTTTCTCCCCCGAGAGCTCCCAGGCTGGTGGTTGACTCCACCGTGTGTGGCACCAACGATGCATGCTCTATCCCTGAGCGCTACACTTTGCCAGGTCTACAAGATGTTCGAGATTGCTTTCCTTTGCGCCTTCATGCAGGCCTGTGTGAAGGCTTCCATCTCGACGTCAAGGCGGCGCATAAAACGGTTAGGGTCAAAGAGGCTGACCAGGGACTGCTCGGTGTCACTTTACCGGGTGGAGACGGTAAGGATGACAGACTTTTCTTTTACCGAGTTTGTCCATTCGGAGCAAATTTCTCTGCTTTGTGGTTTCAGCGACTGGCGGGCATGCTTTTACGACTCATGCATCTCTGGATCTTTGTGCGCCATGCTCTTATGGGCTACGTCGACGATTTTCTTTTCATCCAGGACCGAGAGTGCATCCTGTACTCTGCGTCACTCTTACTTTGCTTTACATCTATATTCGGAGTGCCTTTGAGCTGGGCCAAGTTACAATTGGGAAGTTGCATTACCTGGATTGGTTGGACATTCAACTTTACCAGCGGCTCTTTTCATATTCCGCAAGAAAAAGTTGATAAGCTTTTCAACTTGATCAAGGATGCTACACGGTCCAGAAGGGTTACCAGTGCTTTGCTCCACAAGTTGGTAGGACTACTACAGTGGTTCTGTCAGCTTTACAGATCTTGCAAACCCTGGCTGGCGTCCCTTTTCTCAGATCTACATCGGCATCTGGCTTCCCAGTATAGCATATCACAGGGGCTCTGGCCTTCTTTGGCTAACTACCTTGACGATGATCTTCGCTTTACATCCGTACCTCCGGGTACTCAAGTTCCGCTGGGAGGCAAATTACTGGAAGCACGACGTACAGAACTGAAAACAAAGCAAGACCTTTGCAAGGTCCGTACCTCCAATCGGATCTGGATGCGGGTGACCAATCCCAAATCTGATCGGCATTCTTTGTCACCAGCATCGCGGACCTTTCTTTCGTTCTGGAGATCCAGGTTGAGGCCTTTGCGGATGCAAGAGCTGATGGAGAGCTCATTGGGATTGGCGGTTTTATTGCCTTCCCGTCCGGTGCCTACATTTGGTTTTCTCAGGCCTGGCAGCTTTCCGATTTGTCGGTTTTGAGCTTGGAACTTCGCCGACCCGCACATAAGGACATTGCCTGCTATGAGACTTTGGCACAGATAGCTTTGGTACATGCTTACAGGTCAGTATTTCCTTCGGGTCGAGTGGCAGTTCGCCTCCCCTCCTTTTCCGACAACGCTTCGACAGAGGCCTTGGGGGCGAAGCTTTACACTGCCAAGTGGCCATTGGGAGCGTTTGCCCAGAAACTTTCCCTCATATCTGCAGCTTCGGGTATTGAGCTGGATATTTCTCACATCGCCGGTGAGAAAAATGATGATGCAGATCTGTTGAGCAGATGGAATCAAACTGATTCTTTACCTGACAAATGGCGCAAAGAAGACCGAGTGGATTGCTCTCTCAAGTTCATCTGGTTCTTTCGCAAGGAGGTCCTGGTGTGGCCTTCCCACTTTTCTTTACCAGCGGTGACACAGGAACGACATGTGTCAGACGATGACATATGACAGTGCCCGCAGGATCTTTGCCCGGGGCCTTTATGCTGCTGCTTTACGCCCGCAGGATGTTTGCCCGGGGTGCAGCATATGCTCCACCCGCAGGATGATTGCCCGGGGTGGCATGGTGCTGCTTTACGCCCGCAGGATTGTTGCCCGGGGTGCAGCGTTTCACTGAGCGAGCGCGTCAAACCCTCACTTTGAACGTTGGGGAACCATAGTGCGAGACTTTGACTTTGCCGGTTAAACTGTGGGTCTAAACTCTCGAAGCTTCGTTGTAGCTTTACTTTGCTTAGCTTTGGCTTGCAGCTTCAACTTACTTCTCACGTTTCCGGCAAAGTCAAAAGGTCTCTCTGCTTAGCTTTGCTCTGTAGCTCGTAGCGTGTCTTGGGTTAGGTAAAGTTGAACGTTTCATGTGTTTACTCATGGGTGTTTTACTTTACCATGTTCCAAACACAACATTTCGGCCCAAGACACGCGTGCTTCAGCATAGCTTAAAGCTTCGCTCCATGCTTTAAAAATTTGACCCTCCCGCCCTACCCTTTGTGATGTTCTATCTTAGCTGTTATCATAGCTTCTTATACTTTTCGTACTTTTGTTGCTTTACTTTGGGCGAGGGGGGTCTAAACTCTCGAAGCTTCGTTGTAGCTTTACTTTGCTTAGCTTGGGCTTGCAGCTTCAACTTACTTCTCGCGTTTCCGGCAAAGTCAAAAGGTCTCTCTGCTTAGCTTTGCTCTGTAGCTCGTAGCGTGTCTTGGGTTAGGTAAAGTTGAACCTTGGTTTGTCCTTAGAGCATGCAGAGGAGGCAGGCTGGTTGAAAGGCCGCATCAGCAACAAATCCACTGCACTCTTTTACCATGACGATCCCTACACGAAGTACATCCTAGACCTGCCATCCAAGATCACTTTTCAAGACGTCACAGAGCATTCGCTTGCGATAGCACTTGACCCTTCTGTTACTGCAGAAGCAGGAGAAGCAACTTTGGCAGATCAGTCCCGCCAGATCCGGAGGTTTTGCTGGCCTCGTCGCAGAACATGCGAGGTTTTTAACATTGTGGGGGCGCACGTGCAAACAGCCTTCTCACGTAGGGCATCGCAGAGCCTACCTTTCAGTTTTGCTGGCCTTGTCGCAAAACATGCGGAGTTTTTCTTCTGCAGCTCTATGCAGAGGTAGGGCGTTGCAATCACGTGCAGCTGTTTAAAGAGTCGCAATCATGTGAGTGAGTTTTCTTTGCATTGAATAAGAGCAAGTTTTCTTTGCATGCCTCTGCATCTTTGCATGATTTTTAATGCATGTTTTGCCAAATTTTATTCAAAAACATCGCCATAGGTTGCTTTTCTTTTTTCATGTTGCCAAACGCCTCAATTCAAAGTTTCGTGCTTTGAGTTGTGTCTGAAGGCACACGGTGTCTTCTCATTCGTGCAAGCTCCAATGCTCGCAAAGTTTCTGTTTCAGTTTTGTGTCAAGGAAAGGAGTGCACTCGGTACGCGCATTTTGTGTTTGCATGTTTGGAAGGCCGCGCGAGGGGAGTATTCGGCATGTCGTGTGGGTCGTTGTGGACAGAATGATTGGAGTAGACCTAAGGTTTAAGGCTTGCTCGTATGGGAACCTTCAGAGTTCCAGCAAGCCCTAAACTGGCCCTAAACCCTAAACCCTGACTCCTTAGCCGTTATAGTGCAGGTTGTCGGTGTCTGAAAGCGAGCCGCGTGCAGAAGATTGGTTGTCTTCAAATTTCCAGGGTTGGAAGTGTATCTTTCAGTGTGAAGCTACAGAATCAGTTTTGTTGGTTTGTGGTTTTGCTCAGAGAAGCAGATCCGGAGGCACACTGGTGCTTTAGACAGAGCGGACGTTTTTTCGACAGTAGTGAAAAGATGAACAAGTGTCTGGTAATTCCAGCATTTCCCACTTGTGCAGGTTGTTTCCTGTCCTAGGCTCTTTCCTGTCCCTGGGTTTCTCCTGCTTCATCAGGACTTTTCCATGTAAGAACTTTTGCTTGCCAGGGCTTGTTTCCCGCGCTGGGCTCACCACCCTCTGGAACTCCTCGCGTGTCATCCGCTCGATAGCTTAAAAGATGCCTTCGTTTTCTGAAGCTCCTGCAAGCAGTCACAGCAAAGCTGAGCCGCACGGTCCGGACTCTCAGGCTCTTGATCCATTGTCCTTGCGATCCCAGTGCTCTGTGCTGCCTCCAGTGACCAGTGCTGCTTGGCGTGCGTTGTGACAGTGTTGTGTGAAGTTGTGTGTGCCTAGTCCGGAAGTGTGTGCTGTGTGCCGCCTCCAACTGCTAAAAGCTGCGAAGTGTGTGTCGTGCAAGATGCTGCTGGCTGCTACCGTGTCACGTGCCGCCTTCGTGATGCGGCATCAGTGAGCAAAGGGCGAACAGCACCGAGCATGGGCGCACCCCCCAAATCAGATGCACGCCCGCGGCGTGATACTCGGCGATTCTGTGTGGCTGTTTTTCGATCCATCCTAAACCCCACGGACCACCCTCCGAGGCTTGCCGGAATCCGAAATCGGGATCGCACCCGTGCGTGGTCGGGGGTCGCCAAACCATCGGCCGCCAAGACCGGCCAGAGGGCTCCCTCGCCGGGCGGTTCCATGGTGTTTTAAGGCCCATCGGTGTTTTTTGAAATCCCGTGTGCAATGGCAACATTGCCAGCCAAGCAGCCACGCATTGACATTTTGCGGGGTACGGGCCGGGCCAGCTGTCAGTATTGTGCGATGATGCTGGTTGAAGTCAATCATGGCCGTGGTCATGATATGATGCAGCCGAGTCATGTCACATCACATCATCATTCAATCGTTGCATGAAAATCGGTCCGATCCAGTCCAGGTCCATGCCAGGATTCCAGGATCGGCTCGGCCAGCCAGCCAGCCAGCCGTCGGTCATCGGACTCCTCCATCATCATCCTTCCGACCATGATCAATGATCAATGATCAAGTCAGTCCGGGGTCTGAAGGCGACGGGGTGGGCTTGCTACCAGGCCTTAGGGTGGTGTTTGTCAAGCTTCGATTTGTCGTTGAGATCATTGGTCATTCATGACGATAGATTGATCGACTCGAGTCGAATTCAACTTGGCAATTGAGGCCGGGATGGTCAAGTCTCGAGATTCTCGACCATTCGAACGTTCGACAGTTCACCATTCGAGTTGTCAGTCGGTCAGTCAATCGCCCGTGAGGATTCCGATGATGATGAGGATCTGCTGCTGCTTCTGGGCATGAATGATGAGTCTGATGAGTTTGATGGAAGGATAGATGCTGATGGATGGTTGGGATTGGCTGGATGGATGGATTCCATTCCATGGCCCATGGATAGATGGATGGATGGACGGATGAATGATTCACCTCAGCAAACGACCTCCACTCCAAGACTTTGGAGTTCTTTCAAAGCAGTGGCCTTTTTTGGAATTAATTTTCGCAGAATCCACAGAGCGAGAATCAAATTCTTTAAAATTAGACTTCAAAGTCAAGTTTCAAGCCGACCAGGCTCAAACATTTCTATTTTTCCAAACAGTGCAAAATATTTCTAATTCAGCTGTTTCAGCTGGTGTCTAGCAGTTGCGGTTTTTTGTACACCTGCCTTCGCTGTACACGCACTGCCCTGCGTTACCACAGCAGCCGGTGGAAGGATTTTTGGCAGGCCGAGTGTGTTGTCATAGTTCCGCAAGGCCGAAATCTGCGTGGAACTGTGACAGCGGAGGCACGACAGGAGCGCGACCAGGAGGCGGCTAAAGCGTGCGTGCGCCGCTTTGCGCAACTGCGCGGCGTCGATGAAGCAGATTTCTCTTGGAGTGGCAATGTGCAAGCACCTTTCAGCTGCATGCGATGCAGATGTGTGTTTCCGTTCATGCAGGCTCGGCGAGATTGCAACTTGAAGCATGGACCCTTTTACATACAGATGTGCGAAGGATCCACGGCAGCCAGTGCTCGGGCAGCCGCCAGATTGAGCGAGTACTCCCCACATGCGACGCATGATACTGTGAGATCACCTGATGGCAACCTTCTGGTTTGCAAGACATGCGGATTTTACCTTGTGGATGTCCCTGACAACAGTGCGGCATGCAACCGACTGCACTTGTCTCAGCCGTGCAAGAAGCTCACTGATTCGAACCGGCTGTGGGCGGGGATACAATTTCACGCGGATTGGAAGTGGTACTTCCCTTACCTGCTATGATGCGATTTCCAATGGTCTCTACTTTTTTATTTATTTCTGCTGAACTTTACTTCTGTCGGGTACGGCTCTTGCTAGACTCGCTTTTTGGGAGGAGGGGATGCAGCGCTACCGCCAGCCATATTTTCTATTTCGACTTGGGTTACGCCAGTTTACATGTCCATACACTGAGACGACTTCTTTGGCTTGGTTACCAACCAAACTGTTGTATCAGATGCTTGGCCTTTTCTTTCCATTTTATGAGAAGCTCTGCCATTGATTCATGCGGGTGTTTTGCCACCGTCCCTCGCACCGCCGGCAGCGTCTTCGCGGCTCTGTCGTACAAAGTTCATATCAGAAACCGCCGTTGGCCTTCAGCACCTCTGGGAGCTGTACGCGTTGGTGGCGATGCTGATGATCTGCGCGGTGGCAATATGGGAGGGCTGCAAGAGTGAAAAAGCGAGGCGGTGAGGCTGAGGAGCGTCGAAGCTTCACCGGGACGTCAAAGATTGACGAAGGTCGAGCCACGGATGCGGAGTACTTTGCTGCAGCGAGATCGAGAATCTCTCTCGCAAGAAGAGAGGTTGCACTTGATTCATCTGGCAGGCTTATGCGGCGGGAGCGAGGCTTTAACGGGTATCGAAGGGAGTTTGAAGGGAATAAGAGGCTTGGAGGGTTTTAAGGGTATTGGCTTTGAAGGGACTTGGAACAAGGTCAGAATGCTTTTAGATGCGACCCTAAGTTGGCCGACATGCAGCTGCGACTGTCATCGTAAATCGCATACCTGCGCTTTGTCTCACTGCTCCACATTGCCTTCGAAGGTGCTGCAACAGTTTGCCTGCAAGCACGCCCGATTGCTCAACA